ACTTTATTGCACTGCAATTATATTTTTCTACTTTGAAAGTTGAGTGGAAAGACCTTCCCTAACATTTGTAGAAGAAAGGCCAAAACAATCATACTTCCTTAGCTCTAGATTTTTTCTAACTGTGATTTATGGATTTCTCAAGTTCTAAAACTTTCAAAAGTGGTTTTAGCTAATTTTACTCAGTTCTGAAGTTAAATGATGTTGAATAAAGGGTACACATTGATACATTTCTACCACCTCACTTAATATGTAGATCCAAGGTAATCCAGTGTACTTGATAATGGTAGTTAATTTGTGGGTATTATTCTTTACTTGACTGAAGAGCAACCTGAGGCAGTTATATTATTTTGACACTATGCTTTAAATAGTAGTCCAAGGTAGGAATGTATGTTATAAGTATTCTCTCTGACAGATGTAGTCTTTTCAAGAGAAGTTAACTCTCCTGTAGGTATAGCGATACTGCCTTTTATACAGTACCTCATTTCATATCACTACACCTCCCTGAACCTAAGAGACTTTATACTTTTAGTTGATCTTTGACTTCTACGAACAACCCTGGGAGATATAATCTCACTCTCTCAGAGTGATTCTCTTTATTTCTTTTTATGGGAGATCTAGGTCTTAACTGATTCTCCTCATTTGAATCATTATATCTCTGATCACTCTAATCCACAAATTGTTCCTCACTACTAATGGATACACTCATTCTTTGCTCCATTTCCTGTTCTTCACTTACATATTTCTGGTGGTCTTCCTGATCACTCTCAATACTGGATTCATTCATCCTTTCTTGCATCATCTGTTCTGCTTCCTCTTCCTCCTCCTATTCCCTAACTTCATGCTCTCTTGTGGTTCTAAATTGGTCTTTGTGGGCCAGTATGCCCTGTCCCTTCTTTGTTAACACAGCTGTGTTAAATCCTTTCTGCACCACAAAATTCACCATTTTAGGACTTGAATCCTTGTCCTTCCTATACCACATGCTTTCATTCGTTGCAAATGACATAGTAATCAGAGCTCTTATTTATCTTCCCATCAATGTCTTTGTCTTCTGCCTGCATACCAAATAGCTCTATAATCTGGGTAAATAACTTGCTGTATCACAATCCACTGGAGAGAATGCTTTTAATCCCATTTTTACTATTTGAATCATTCTCTCTGCAATTCCATTTGACTTGGGGGTAAGGTGGTGTTTTATATGGAATGTGTTTTAATCATGCAAATAAACTTTCTTCATAAAACTCAGGTGTATTGTTAGAGACCAAAGTTTCTGGAACTTCATAGCTTGAAAACTCTATCCTAAATTCCTGTTTCACAGCAGTGGCTTTTCTATCTGCGATTTTAATAACTTTAGTCCAATCTGAATACACGTCAACTAATATCAGGAATAGTCCTATATCTTTAATGTAGGCATGATTCATATGTACTTGTGTCTATGGCTCCATTTCCTTTGGCCAAGACTGAGTTTTAGTTTGCCTAAATTTCTTTATTTCTGCACACTTAGAGCATTTTTAATATACTCTTCCACATCTCTTGAATAGCCTGGCCACCATGCCTGCAACTTTAACTCGTTTGTGTAGACAATATACTTCCATGTATATCATAATACATGGCTTTAATTACATATTTTCTTAGATACTGAAGGTACTATGATATCTCCATTACACATAATTCCTTTTTCTATTGTTAATTTGTGTCTTGACTCTTTATACAGCCTCTCAGCTATAGAGCAATTACACCATATATTTCTCTTTATTCTATCCATAATTCTATTCAACACTGAATCCTCTTTCTGTGCTCCACACAATCACCAATGCCTCCTTAATATTCAAATAATTTGCCTCTGCCGATGTTAGTTTTCATTACTGGGTGATCCACCTGCGACAATATTGCAGCTATAGCACAGTCACTGGCATCAGTAGTTAACATCATTTCTTTTGCTGGGTTGAAAATTTTAACAACTGGTTTGTTTATGAGTGCCTTTTTTAAATTCTCGAAAGCAACCTCCTGTTTTTTGTTCATTGAAACTTGGTATTCTTCTTCCTTATTTCATTAAATGGTTCCACAAGGTCATTATATCATGGCAGTTACCTGTTATAGAAATTGGTTAATTCTAAAAAAAGATTCTCTTTTTTATTTCTGGGTGCAGCTACCTCTTATATCTTATTAATGAGTTTATCATCTAGCGATATACTGTCTTTGGATATTTGATATCCTAGGTATGACATTTTTTCACAATTAAACTTGCATTTATTGCAATTGTCGTACCTATGCTATTTAATTTTCTCAAAACTTGCTCTGTTTTACTTTTGAGCTCTTCTTAACTGCACACCAATGCCAATGTTGTCCTGATATGCAATTATATTTTTAATCCTCTCTAAAACTTTTTAATGACTTTTTTGGAAAATGTGACTTGACATTTTTACTCCAAATGGCAGACAAATCCATCTTATTAATCAAATAAGGTATGCATTGTGGTGACTTCTTGTAAAGTTACTCTGTTCAACTTCACTGTTTCCCTATTCTTATCCTGAGCTTTTATCTCAAATACTTCCATATTTTCAATTGGAGGATCTATATTTTCCACTTTTTCCACTTGCTTTTCATATGTGCATACCATTTAAAAATGATTCCTCTTTTTACACTTAAAACAGTATTTCCCAAAAGCTGGACACTTATTTTTGTTCTTTTCATGTTCCTTATTGAAATATCTTCATGAAAATAAGTTTTTAGTAGCACTCTAAATGTCCATACTGCCTTTGGAGGCATTAAATTTTTGAATCAATTCCAATTGTTGTAAGAACTTCACACATGCTTACAGATTCATATTATGAGCTTGAAGCCACTCTAGAATTTTACACTTGTATGAGATCTCAAACATTCCTTCAATCAGTCTTAGCAAAATTAGATTGTCTTTGATAGACATTTGTTCCGAATGCACAAACTCGATGCTTCTTTCAGTTGCTATACATATTGGATAATAGTTTCATCTGGTCTCTGTCTACTTTCCAGAAATTTAGTTCTTTCTGCTATGACCAATCTTATTTATATATATATATATATATATATATACTTTACTTTTATGATGGCAGCAATTTCTTAATAGGCTAAATCTTCCAACACTTTGGGATAGACCATGACTGAGATTTTTTTTTATGACCTCACTGAGGCCAAAGACAAATCTATAACTTTATTTTCTCCTCCACTAGCTTTGGTGTCCTTTAACTTTTTCACTCTTGTCGATGCATTATATTCAGGATCCTCCATTGTAATTCAGTAACCCATTGGTGACGCCATATTGTTATGATAGGTATTCTCTCTGACAGCTGTAGTCTCGTCAAGAGAAGATAACTCTCCCATAAGTATAGTGCCTTTTATACAGTATCTCATTTACATATCACTACAGTATAGAAAAAAGTTCCCTTTCTTTTCTGTAGGTTTCATTGCTAAAAGCTCTTTGTCTGTGTGCCCATTGCAAGTTTAACAACAATGACATGGAATTGACTGCAGTCAATGAGAGGCTGGAACACATCTCTACAAAGCATTTTGGCTGTTGGAAATCATCCATCTAATGCCTCAGCCCAGATCAGATCAAACCAGACTAAAATGTAGGCCATCACTCTAACAATGAAATAACATCATCTTGGCAGAATGGGATTAATCCAGATAAGATTTTTTCAAAATCTGAGGTGGGTAAATTTTGAGAATGTACAAACCTGTCATCAATTCATCTCTTTGCAGGTGTGTAAACCTGGGAATCTTTAAATTTTACTGCTTTTTTGGTATTTGTGTGTAAATGAATCTAATACACAAATACCCTTGGGAAAGATATGAATCCATCTCTTCTCCTCCCAGCTATAGGTTGAATAGCAAGACAGACTGGGTTCTTTAGCCTTGGTTGGCAACCAGTCTACTACAGAAAGAAATGGCAACCTACTGTGGGAAAAAATCTGCCTCGTCGGTCATGTATCGTAAGTTACATGATCACCCAAGTGTGTATCATGTATGACACTTAACTGACTGACTATCCTAGTTTCCAATCCTTTCAGGACTCTCATTCATCTCATAGGTTTAAATCCATATTTTTACCTCATTCTTGTTCTCAATATATCAAAGGCCACTCATTTCTAAGATTTTCTGACCTTTATTCTCAACTAGATGCTACTTCAAATCACCATTCAGCTGTCACATGCACTAATAAATATCAATCTTATGAATTTGTCCTTTACATGTCATTTTGCTTAAACTGACCTAATTTTGAATTGCATTAAAAATTACATTCCATTTTTGAAACTATAATTTGGAATTTACTTTTCTGTTTAGTGTATCTGATTAGTGTAGATAATATAGAGAAAGTTTGAGAAGAGTGGTGTTAATTTGAAAAATTGCTGCTTGACTGACATGGAGTGTTTTGTATACTGTATATACTTGAGTATAGTGTGAGTTTTTTATGCAAAAAGTAGAGGTTCCCACTATATATATTTTTTGAAGAAGTTAAAAATCATGCATTTCTGATGACTGGTTGTACTACACTCAGGTAAATTTATTCTGGAGGGGTTTAAAATTGATGCAAAATATAATCAGGGGGTTGCATTATACATGAAGTCAGTCTTGAATTTTAAAAAAATATGAATTAATTTCTGAAAAGTTTAATTATGTGTTGTGGTCTATTAGGGGCTAGAAGAAAGACATGGAAAGAAGAAGGTAGGTTGAACAAGTGTATTGAAATAATGGAACATATATGCAAAATAAGAGTGTTATTAGTCAGCAGATTGAAGTGTGCGTCCGAACTGTCAGCTTACACTGCATCCTGATGGCCTTCTTAGGAAGCCTCGCAGGTTAGTATTTATGAAGGAGGAAGAATCCATTCAAATGTAGATAGGTGACCATAACACTATGTACTGAAAATACTGATTTCATTGTAAAATGCTTCAAGTGTAGATTGTGTATGTTGTTTTACAAATAGCTAATTTATATATATATTTATATATATTTTCTTTTAGTTTTTGCTTATGGTGCAACTGGAGCTGGAAAAACTTACACAATGCTTGGTACCAATGACCAACCAGGTATTACATTTTTGACTTTGATGGACCTTTACCAAAGAATTGAAGCAATCAAATCTGAAAAAGTTTGTGAAGTAGCAGTTTCTTATTTGGAGGTAATGTATGATTTTTAAAAAAATCATTGACCAAATTTAATAGGTAACATTTTGAGTAGTTTAGATTTCTATTTGCTTATCAAAACCTTTTTTAAATTGGTAAAAGTGTTGATTTACCTACGTTATCCCAAAGATTCATATAACAATCAGCATCATTTAATTGATTTTTTTTTTTAATGCTATTCTTTTGAATGGTTTTTATGAGAGATGAGTTCTTTCTAGGTATTTTTCCATCATGTTATGTTTCCTAAATTTTCTTATCAATATTGATGAGGTATGTTCAGGTTTGGCTCTTTCAAGTGCCAGAACTCTCTAAGGAGGATAGAATACTTAATATATTATTTTTATTGTGCACATATCCTATCTTGACAACTACATTTTTCCATTGTAAAACATTCTACATCTGTTTGAACAAATGAACAAAAACTTAAGACATTTTGAATTGTTTAAATACATATAAACATCAGATGAATTGTCTTTAAAAAAAAAATGATCTTATTTCACTGGTTTGTTTCCTTCATCAGAATCTGTGTCGTCTAGATTTCATTCTGTATCTACCAGAAATAAATGTTCAGCACAGTCCACGGTCCACTTTTGATAGGCCGTGGCTTTTGTTGACCCGATTGATATTTCAATTGTACTTTCTCTTCAACGTCTACTGATCTTACTGAAAAAAGGTGACAACAGAAGAAACAATGTTGTTGAAAAATTATCAACAATTTATTTAAAGGTGAAATTTAAAAATCATATGAGGCTGATTTTCTATTTTTGAGACACTAAGAGATGTCTGCTAAGAAATGTAGAAGTGCTAACATCTTAGTAGTAAATGACTTTTATGGTGAATTTTCTCCTATATGTATAGGTGAGGCTGCTGGTTTTCCCCAAAAGAATTTATCTTTGATGAATCTGCTCTGACAATCTCTGGGTAAAAACTTATTTCTGTGCATGCCTATTTCTCTTATATAGACTTCAGCCAGGAATGGATATGATCAGTTAGCTTCTGAAATAAAGATCTTCCTGTTAAATAACACCAGATTGACATACCAGAAAGTGCTTTTCAAGTTTGGCCTAGATTTCTAAGTTCTAAAATGTTCACTGAAATCTATATGAATATTCCTGATAATTTGCGAAGCATTAAACCCTAATCCTGTGTGCTTTTGGGAAAAAAAACCTCATTAGTCATGTCATGACATCTTCCTTGAAGTTATGGAGTTAGGCCAGGGGTGTCAGTTATGCTAAATCTTACTAACTTTAAGTTCAACTTCTTCCAAGGCCCTCTTTATAAGTATTTTATGTATTTAAATCAAGGAAATCTAACCCAGGCCTGGCAACCATCTGACTGTGATCTACAACTGGGGGTGGATACCTAAATTACTACTAAATAATAATTACTGAGAACATTTTTAGCAAGGAACTTGTTAGTAATGTTTAGTAATTAGTTAATTAGCAACTATATATAATATTAGGAAGCATCTTATGATTATTGACTTATTTCCATAAATGAAAATGTACAAAGAAAGAACAAAAATAATCTCCTCTATTATAAAATAACTAAATGCACAAAAATCACTTTATTCACCATAAATTAGACATTTTCAGATGATATTGCAAATATAATGAGTTAATTTGTTTATACCAATTGATTACAGAAAATATAATTGTATAATACAATCAGAAAGCAATTTCAACATTTTACAAAATCGTGTATCAACAAAGTCTGAAAATACTTTACAAAAATTGTAAATTTCAGAGAAACAATAATTTTGATAACCTTTACAAAATTTGTGATTTTTGTTACATGTATAATTTGTTTCACAGAAGATGAAGAAAATACTTATTTTGCTATAATACAATAATAGATATTACCAGTATACATGGTTTTAATAAATAAAATGAATTTATATTAACAAGAACTCAAAATTAATTAATAGAATGATTTGGGGGGGGGGGTTAACCAATTAAATATATTTAAAAAAAGGGGGAAATTGAAAAAGAATATCTGATAAATATTTCTCTGAATGGATAAGTATGTCCTTTTAATGCAGCTTCATGAATATACTTTTACTACAGATTAATAGAAAGAGAATTGTATAAACATTTTTATCTTTATAAATAAAATTTTAAGGTAATTTCAAAACTTTTAGTGTTGGTTCTTTAGTTGTCTTAGGGGAATCAAACAAACAGTAATTTTTGAAAAATATATTTGACAATATAATCCCATGCTCTCTTTTCATATTGAAATAATACATATCAAAAACTAACCTAAAGAGTTTCTGCAAGTCTTCAATTTAACAACACTAAACATTATAAAACAGAAAAAAATCTACTGAAATGTGGTATCCAGTGGAATTTTTACCACAATCTATTTCTTTCAAAAAAATGTCCATATTGTTGAAAATAAAAACTAGTATTAAATATTTCCTCTTATGTGGGACAATCTTTTCTTGTAGCATAGCCTGCTATATACAAATGTGACATTTTAATATCTTTAGGGATCCTAATTTTAAGGTCTGGTAAGTTATCAAATGTTTGGCATCCTATTTCATCCAGGAAATGTTCACATTTTGAGCAATTATGGCATGGATCTAAATTGTATTCTTTGACATTAATATTTAATTTAAGCAGTTTTTTTTTTCAATATGAAATTTTGCAATAACATTTGGAATTGTTATAAAATATGCACCTCCAGAACTTTGTTTTAATTTTCCAAATTCATTTCTAAATAGTCTGTGGTAAATTCACCAAGCATAACAAAATTAAACTCGATGCTTAACAAATATGTACAAATATCCATTAAGCCATTGCATGTATGTTCAATGGCTAAACTAGTATCTTTTGTTAATGATTTCATTTTTTTTTTTGCTTTCCTCTCATTCTTTTTTTTTGTCATTTTTCCAAAATTAGAAAGTGATGTGAAGAACAATTGGGGCAGGTTAGGAGTGGACATCACCCATCATGACAGTGGCCACTATTTGACACTTATTGATTGTGGTCCCTCACAATTTGCCATCTGGCGCCCCGTGAGTCAGTAAGATTCAGCACGTGTTGTATGCCAGCTTTAGTCCATATTTCATGAGCATGATCCACTGGTTGAAATCCTGGCTGACAACAGCACTGCATTTACTGGCCAAAACTTTCAGTAGTTCCTGGGGTATACATCTTTGATTCCAATGTGTCTACGAACCAATGGGAAATGGAATAGGTGAGAAAAGCCACAGAAGTGTAAAAACTATTGTGGCTAGGAAATGATGTTCCATACCAGAGTTGGTCTACTGGTATAATTTCATGCCAGGATCAATTGACTGACAAGCCTTCACTGCCATTTGTACATTGGCTTTTGAAACAGTTGGGTCTCACTGTTTGGCAAAATATAATGTGCATTTTATCCCAGGGTGTCCCCTCAGTTGATGGATATGTACTATTTTCTGAATGCTCAGCCGATTTGCAGAAGCAGCACACATATGCTGAGTGGGCTCAAGTTCTGTTTTTATTCTACTTGGCCACTGCTGTGGTACTCTTGTTAGTTGGTTGGTTTTGTTGTCATTTGACTTGTTTGGGGCACTGATGTTTTTTCCCCCCAAGCCATTTCCCTGCCATTCTGATGCAAAGTAGCCAATCTTATGGCACTTGAAGCATTGTGTCATTTGGCCTGATATCCAGGTAATTGGCCCATTAACTTTAGGAATAGTACTGTTAATTCAAACGATATGGCTAAGATACATAGATGTTCATACAGCATAAAAATGGGATTGTCTGATGCCTATATCATCATGGCAAAATCATATGACACTTCAGACACATATCCACTGGAGATAATCAACATTATGGAAAATCCTTAAAGTAACATTAACTTCTGCAGGCAGACTATGGCTGAGTAGGAAGATTGTAAAACTACCAGAATCTGTGGCCCTTACATCAAGGGTATGTTGGAAAAAGATTCAAAAGATCTATGATCTATGCAGTATCAGGACAATATTCAGAAGCAGCTTAACTTTATGTAAACATCTCTACCAAGTCAAGCTTAACATGGAAAAGGACATGATCAAGAACAGTGTGTGTCCCATTCCTTGCAGTTGTGGTGAATATAAAGGTGAAACCAGCTGACCCCTAAAAGTAAGGCTGTAGGAAAATCAAAATGCTGTAATTAGGAGTGAGAAAATGAAATCAGGTATGACTGATCATGTATGGAGGGAAATGGGTGCTCATCAATTTCTGTGAGATGAAATAAAAATGTTAAACAGAACAGCACTGATAAAATCAGATATGTAAAGTAATTAGTGTATATGCTAGGCTATCAGTAGGCCTAGCATAGATATAAATATCTTATACAAGCTGTTCAGAAATAATGAAAAGCATGCACCAGAAATACCAGCAACTCTAATAACACTGGGATATGCTAAAAAAAAAAAAAAAAAGAAGCTGCTGTGACAAAAATAAGGCAATACAAAAAAAAAGTATTGGTGGAGTGAGCTAAGCTTGGCAACAGTAGAGGAAGTAAGAAAAATATTAAATCTGAGGACCCAAGTTCTAGTTTCAGGATTATCCAATGAGACAATGTCCTGAGAGATTAAAATATTGGTTAGTGAATTTGGTGATGTAATAATCCTTGGACTGGGTAGTATTGATGTATTTAGTGGAAACAGGACTAGTCACTACAATTAATGAAGACAAGATATCCTTAGACATGTATGTAACTGGTAAAACAAACACCTGAAAAAGGCCAAAGGGCACAACAATCAAAACTGTGTGCCATATTTTCAACACATTTGTAGTGATTTCTAACTTACTATCTATATTTGATTACAATGCCTTATAAACTTAAGTCACACACACCTATATTCCAGGTATTGCTGGCCACAGTTTTTTTTTGACAAGAAATGTAACATGCAAACATTGAATAAAATCAAACTTTACATACAAACATTGCTTCACTGATGCAATTTTTTTATGGACCTTTAACATAAATATTACAAAATTTTGTTTCTTTTTTTATTCTCTCCAAATTATTTTACAACAGAGACTCTAATTTCTTACATGCATACCTAAACTGACATGAAAAAAAAACTTGGCAGCAGCCACATATTCAATGTGAAGAAAATAACTTCTTGAGATAGCCAATTTTAGTATAAAAATTTTCTGCTGATATCAGATTTATTAGTGCATCAATGATGTTACAAAGTCTTGTATAGTTTGACTTCTCTGAACCAGAGGCATGCATAAAACTTTGAAAATGACTTTGAGGAAAAGGAATTGTAAATGATTAAAATGCTTTTCACTTGTTTTTGAAGGAGACTCTTAATAATTTGCTCTTGTTGAATAAAAAAAAATGTAAACAAATCGTACATATATTGTATTCTTGAACTGAGTGGGATTCACTCATGCAATGAATAAATTGAAAAGGAATTTTTTTAGATCACTCTACATTTTGAAAGCGCTTTAGATTGTTTTCAGTGTGGTTTGACACATTATCAAGAAAAGGTAGTGTTTTGTTCCTCTTTCCTAAGTAAATTCAAGAGTATGTTCAATATTATTTAATTTATTTAAAAGGTTAAGAAATATTGTTTTGCAGGGATATATAATTAGTGTCCTCAATGTACTGGAAATATGTTGATTTTTTTTTTTTTGTGAAAAATATTTTGGACATGCTAATAATCCTTTCAGTAATCCAAATTTCTCTTTATAAAAATTATTGAAAGTGAAAGAGCTTTGTTTTGTAATAAGTTGGCAAGTTCTTATTTTGCTTGGTGGTGAGATGTTAGTTGTTGACTTGATGTTTCTTTAGGTGATTTAAGCATTTATTATCTAGCATGTTAGTATATAAGGATTTAATAAAACTAGCCATGAATTTATCTTTCACTAGCAGGTACTACCTGGCGTTGCCCTGGTATCAAATATGTTGAACATACCTAGCAATTCCACTTCTTTAACCTGTTACCACCTCCTAGGATGTGGAGCAGAGGTTGGATTTTAAGAGGCAAAAAGATTTGGTAAGTTTTGGTTGTTAAGCAGATCAAACTGTTTTTCCTGGAGGAACAGTAGAAAACATCAGTTAGCAATTGTCATCCTGGACTCACTTTTAAACTGCATATGGGATTACTACAAAGCCTTTGGATACACAATATTTGATCTTTTGCCTCCTTGAGCTAAGATGTAGAGGCATTCTGCCAATCCTACCCTAAAACATCCTACATAAAACTGCTGATGGTTAAAGCAAAGTGAATTTAGGTTGAGACCAACAACCGCTAGTGATTGTCCCTGGGACTTATTAATAGTCACGCTGAAACACACTCTAACTGGGAATTGAAGCCTTTTAAATTCAATAGTAGATCTGATAAAATAAGTGGTTTTTCTAGGAATGAAAGTCAGTTCTCCTTTTGCTCTACCAGTTAGTATGACAGCTTCTATGACATGAGGTTGTATCTGTTTGACACAGATTCTTGTTCCATTACATAATCTTGGAGCATCAAGATTCCAGAGCAGTATAATAAGGCATCCAACTATTAGGCTTAACTTGTGTTGGCATACCAGACAATTCTAAGGAATTTAAAAATTCTGTAGGGCATTGCACAGTCTGTTCATCATCCAAAGTTGAATCCACAGAACAAAGTTTTTTTTCCTCACCTGGAATTTCATTGAGCAGTTGTTGATTGATAACATACACCAAGTCATTTTTAGGTGCTAGAATTGCTCTCTTAATTAGCCATTCATAATTCAGTTTTTTGCTATATTTGGGTACACTTTCTTCCTCAGTTCTTCAACTGAAGAAACAGTTGAGGCTAATCCTGGAGGAATTACAATATTATCATGGTGACTCTTAGCAATCTTGCTATCTCCTATTCTCAGTAGTAGAGATGCAAACTCACCAACCATTGGCTCTCTATTAAGATAGGCTCTCATGTTCATATTTAATGTTACTGTCTTGATGTCCTTCCACAAATATGATAATATAATGCAAGTGTTGATTTCATCAGCAGGGTTTCTATGTGGAACAAGTGGAAATGTTTGTCGGAAGTCACCTGATAATAAAAGCGTAATGCCACCCATCAATACATCACATCTCTTGAGATCATGCAATATTTTATCTAGAGCTTCAAATACTTTTTTATGTGCCAGTAGCAGCCATACCCTGTTGGTTGATTAGATAAAGCATTCAATTAGATTGGAGCAAAAACAGCCTCATGTTTAGATGTAACAGTCTATCTTCAACTACTTTAAAGTACTTTCATTAAAAAAGATTTTGAATTAATGCAGTTATTGATATAACAGAAGTAGTCTGTATTTATTCAATTGAAGTTAGCCAAGTACATGAAGGGGTAAAACAGGCAACATGAAGACCCACTTCAGACCACAATTATTTTGGAGCTTTTAAAATTCAATTTGTCAGTGTGCTACCAGGGATGTAAAAGAGCATACATTTATAAAGCAATTGTTAATTTTGATGAAAATTGGTAGAAAGATCAATGAAAAATAAGAAAGAAACCAGTAAAAATCACTATTTTTTCGCTATTTACGCAGGTTTTCATTATATGAGTGAGCTCAGTTATTAAGTTAAATGACTGTTAAATAATCAGCTTATTGTTGGCTACAATTGAATGAAGTTTGTATTAGATTGCTTGAAAATTGAGGGAATTTTTAGTTTAAAATTTGTGTTTTTTGTCTTTCATGGTTTTTCTTTAAACATAGTAGTGTAGAAATAAAAATGAGGTATCATTGAGCTCGTCATGATGTAAGTAACTTACATACCGAGTTTGAGAAAAAGAGTTGAATTTATCAATTTTTGATTGACTTTATCAATTATTGATTTTTAAAAAAATTATCAATTTTTTTTATGCAAAGAACTTATCTCTTACATTGTATGTCACAAGTCTGGTCAAAATCAGTTGGATGGATCTCTAGTGAGAAGGTATCACACAGACATATTCTATTATGTATATATGTATATGTATGTATGTAAGAGGATACAAGTATAAGATTAAGAGTGGGTGCAATGTCATATATATTTTAATGCCACTTTCTTGGAATAATTAGCCTTTCACATAATAAAATTTTATTATGTGAAAGGCTAATTATTCCAAGAAAGTGGCATTAAAATATATATGACATTGCATCCACTCTTAATCTTATACTTGTATCCTCTTTTATACATATGCCATATTTACCAATCATTTTACAATTCTTCCAAATTATTCAATCATCTGTTTATCCATTAAATCTCATTTTTTTTACATTGTGATTTTCTTTTAATTTTAATTTTTTTTTATTAGGTGTACAATGAACAAATTAAAGATTTATTAAATGGAAAATGTCAATTACCAATTCGTGAAGATCCTAAAGCTGGAGTTGTCATTCCTGGGCTTTCATTGCATAAAGTAAGTATTTATTGAAGTAGCTGAATATTCTGATTTTTGTTAATTATAAAAATTTCCTGAATTTTAAAGCTAATATCAACTTTATTAAACAGATTCCTTTTTGTTATATGAATAGTTTGTAACAGTGTTTATAAATCCATATCTGGCTGAGCTGCAGCTCTTTGTACCTCTTCCAGGATGGACACAATAGCCATTTGTGACATGGCGTACAGATGAAAAGGGTTAAAAAATGATTTTATTTTTTTATCAGAAAGAGACTCATTTTCCCAGGGCATTGAGAACAGATGTATGAATTCTGTTGAAAAAATACAAAATACAACTGTTACTGTCCGGCAGGACACAGCTGGCAGGTTCAGGGGCCAGGGGTTAAAGTCGACTGTTGAAAGGTGTCAATGTCTACGTGCTGAGAAAATTATCAACCAGAATTTCCTTGAGAAAAAAATTATAATTGTGAAGACAGAATGAGCAATTGTTGAAGGCAGGGGGAGATATCAGGAAGACTGATGTCATATAATGGCTCCTCCTGAAGGAGAGAGGACCTTCCAAAATTGGAAGTGTGAAACAGAGAACAAAGCACAATCAACAGTACTTGAAGAGATCCAGTTGTCAAGTCTAGCCATCCTTAGAGGTATTAGCTAGAATTTTCGTTCCATTGCCAAATATTAGAAATGGGTTGGAAAAAGAAGAAAAAAAAACTACTTATTTTTTTTATTTTGATATAAATATCATCTAGTGGTTTATTTGAGCGTCGTTTATTTTATTTTCAATTTTGTGTGTATATTCAACTCCTTGGCATAGTTTGGTTGAGTTACCCCAGTGATAATTCAACTTGACCCCCTTATGATCAAAAATCACAACGTGGGTAAGAGAGGTCATAGTTGAAGACTATCAAACACCACCAACGACCGACAAGTGTAGGCTGACGGCTTGTTCTCCAATACCAGGATCATTCCTGACCAAAGACAGCAGGCCCCTGCCCCCGCCATGCCACAATTGACCAGTTGCTAGCTTGAATTTGGGCAATAATCAAGGATGAGATGTACAGTGGAGAAAGCAGTTTTAGCAGTTGCACATCCAGTACAAAATAACATGGAGACTCTCTTTATTGTGCATCTATGTGGCTGTATCATCTGCTACAAAAGCAGTGGTTCAAACCATATAGTAATAGTTTTGAGTCAATGAAGTAGAAGATGGTGAATATAAATATGCTGTTATCAATGCCAGCCACATGTCTTGAGATTGTTTGTAGAGGAAAATGGCAGGGGACAAGACTTTCTTCTCCAGGCGAGTTGTGAATGAGGTAATACCTGTCACTGAAGCTCACATCAGTCATGCATGACCATCCTTGACTTAAACAACTACTGCTCAGTAATAAGCATAAGGCTGTGTCAGTTGGTAGCAGTCTGGACAAATGTCTGTTTTGGTTCAGTAGTGGGTAGTTTAAAAATCGGACCTATATGGGAGTTTCCTTTTCGTTCGTTGAGAGAGAAGTATATATAGAGAAATTTAGAGAAAGAAAGATTAGGGTTTTAAAGGAAAGTGCAAATGCTTTATTTTAATTTGAATTCTTTCTTTTATTTTTTGTTTATTTATTTATATTTCTTTTATTTTTTATTTATTTATATATTATATATTTATTTTATTTTTATCGGGACTCACTACATACTGAAGAAGCTAGTCTAAGAATACAGATTAAATTGAACCAAAACCTAGCCAACAGATTGACCAGAGTGCCATAGAGATGGTTTGATTTAATGGAGGAGGAGGTTGAACCACTGTTATCAGTGTATGCTGTCTCTGGCCTAATATTGATTTTACACAAATATAGTGAACATCCAGGAATGGGATGTACCACATGTTACAAGGATAATTTTCTCTTTGTCTAATGCAGCCATCAGATTGGTAATAAGAATGTGTGAACAATGTCAAACAATAGACCTGGCTCTCAATTCACTTTTAGAAGGGAATGTTGGCAGTGGACAACATTTGACAGAGATTAGCAATGGCCATTATCTAGCACTTATCAACTGTGGTTCATCACATTTCTCTGTAGTGGATGCTGGCTTGTCAAAACTTATTACCAACTGGAGTTTGTGTTTTATGAAATTTACTGCATGAGCCCCTCATACACAATGTTCTACAACAGGGAGTTCAGTATCTGTCTATATTTCTGAGATGAGGTATTATGTACATTATTTACATTATTTGGACTATTGTCCTCATCTTTGTCGCCATCACAACGTTTCGGCCGTTGTATGCTCTGGCCTTCTTCAGGTGGTTGGAATTTCGAACTGAACCCTTTATTTCGCTCACTTGGGTAGACTGTTCTAGTTCCACGTGCCATGTTTGATGGATGTCAGTTATCAGTTATCTCCTGCTAATTTCCCTCTGAAAGATCTCCACTGCCTTAACCGAGTATTGAACTCACACTCTTTGGGTCCTGTCACTGCATCTAACCAATGCCTTTATTGACTGTGCCATGTGTTCTTGAGGGCACATGGCACATTTGAGGAAATTCTAACCATCTGAAGAAGGCAGGAGCGTACAACGGCCGAAACGTTGTGTTAAATATGGCGACAAAGATGAGGACAATAGTCTGAATAATGTAAATGGAGTTCAGTATGTTTGTGGAAGAGGTGGCCTATACACTTTGGTCATTCCGTCTCAAATCAACCAACAGCTGACCCTCTCAGAAAAATCTGGGAAAATTCACAAGTGTTCCTTGATCAAAATTACAGATAAATGCCAAATATTAGATCTGTATCTTTTAACCGTTTTAAAATGAGTGCATCTTGATATGTCATTACATTTTTTGCATTTTACTAAATAAGACTTTCAACAAACTTTTGACATTCATAGATCCAATGATATTGTATGTACAGATTTGAAACTTGATGACAATAGTTAATTTTTACTTTAGATTACAAAAATATAAGTAACTTAGGTGTAACTTATATACTATTTTATAAGGGCCTGAAAATGGCCAAAATGCTGAAAGACTCATTTACAAAGTATGTCAGATGCAGCAACCAAATTAGTTTTCTGATCATTTATGGCCTAATAGCCTTTTTCTATGCAGTAAACTTATTCAATCTTGTTGGAATGTCAGTATTTCTTTTGAAAATTGCTTTTTTTTCTTGTTTTTTTTTTTTAGTTTTTTAAATGTCCTTAAAATGCCTATTTTCATGGCAGCAGATGACCAGTTTAAGAACATTTCTATATTTTTACCACATATTCTTACATGTCTAAAGCTCATGTGACAGAAGTTTTGTTTTGTGTTCAAATTTCTATCTAGTCTTAAAATACATTTCTCTAGAACAACTTGTCATGCCAAAATCATGGTTTTGTCAATTTTAGCTCCTTATAAATTTGATACTTAAGAAAATATAAAGTTGAAAGTTGGTACCTTATGCAAATAAACTAGTTTTAACTTCAACTTGGTTTCAAATAGTTTAGATGCTATGGGCTCTTTAAAATGGACATTTATCTGGACTTGCATAGGCTACTTTGGCCAGAGCCAGGATTCTATTCAATATTGTCTCCCTATCTTTTTGCCTATTGTGGTGAACAGTCCCACAGAAGCAAGCGAGCCAGAGTGGCTTGCATCTGGTGCATAGGAAAATAAGTGTCTTACCTTAATGTGTGGCACGTGACATCAGCAAGTTTGCTTCATGAAACTGGCATTACTCTCCTGTCTAGCAATTTCAGCAGTATGTGCGGTAACAAAGGTTTTTGTACAGTTTGGCATGCTTCCACTAATAACAAGTTGTGTACTAATTGGTCGAACTGGAGGAGGCTATTTACCAGGATAACTGAGAATAAAAGCAAAAAACGCTGATTGGTTGGTCGACTGCGGTGTTGGCCTGATAAAAGAGGGCTGAAACAGTGAAACGGTGAGGGGAAAAAAACAAAAGACGGATTTACGTTTTGAAGTGTTCAGAAAGCAAGAATGGCAGATTGAACCAGTGGTATCTTGATTTGTACAAGTGATGTCGAAGCTCAAAGAGAACCCACAATGACACACAATAGACAGGAGAAATTAAAACAAAAAAGATTTTAGAAACAGAAGAATAAAATTTCTGACCAGCCTTGACACCACTTGTCTGACTCATCTTGTCCTTTGGCTGCTTTCTTTCTATCGCTTTCTCTCCTTTCCTCCTCACTGGGGCAAGGGATGTATTACCTTCTTTTGTATTGGATGCTGCTATGGTCAGTACTCACACTTGTTTTCATTGTTCTTTGTCTCTCTTTTTCCTTCTCTTCAGCTTTTTATGTTGGTACCCATCACTATTTGGTTTGCCAGTCTTTTCTTTCTGGATTAATGATCCTATAGTCTGCAGCACCAAATGTAAAGGTGCTTTTTCCATCATCATGGGACCAAATGTAGCATACATGGGATATAATTGCCTATTCTGGTCACTCTTTGTATGCCTAATGTAACTTTGGCTAGTAATCACAATTCCCTGTTTTACAGTTTGGGAGAGAATTGGTGAATTGGGAATGGCTATTTCTGTTGTTCGTCTCCCTCACTGGGCATCTCATCTAGGGGAGTCTTTATGTTGTGTACCTGTTGGGATGAATTATGCAGCATGTCTCTTTATTCACTCTGACAGGCCATGCTTATTTTTTTTATTTTTTATTTTTTTTTTGTGTGATCCACTCAATGTCTTTATTTTAGTAAGTTTTTTAATTCAGGTGACCTTCCTGAAAGGTGGAAAGAACAAACTTTGTTGATAAAGCTGTCAGCAATTTATTAATAATGAAAAAATATATAAGTTGTAACAATAACACTTATGCAGTTTAACTTTTTTTCCTTTGAGGGCATTGAGCAATATTTTATGGTTAAAATACAGGTGTGTAGCCAATTTTGCTGTTACTAGAATTTTGATTAAAGCAAATGGCAGAGCAGTCTTGGAAGTTGCTAAACATGAACTGAATTAAAGTAGTGCATGTGTATGGTTATAAGGATAATGATTAATTAGGCATTCATGCTAAGACCC